ATGAGCTAGGTTTAGTGTTTGAATAGAGCAGACAGCAGAAGGTCTGGTCTCGGGTGGTCTGTACACACATCACCCTGGGTGGGGCAGTAAGTGGGAAAGATGGAGATAGCACATATGCTGGTTTGAGAACAAGTGGGAAATCATATCTGTAGAAGGAAGATTATTCATTGCTTCCTACAGCCTCCTTTGAGCAGTTGATTTGTTTAATTCACAGTCTATACTTGGTGAGAAGAGCTAACTTCAAGTAGGAATAATTGTACCCCAAATGTAACTACTTCTCTTGCTGACACATTTAAGGACTTTGCAGCCCACCTACTCCTTGACATTCATGATGGAGCTTTGATGTCCTTGTTTCTGATTGTCCATGTTCTTCCCAAAGCAAAATGCCCAGGTGCTGCCCTCCCAGCCCTTGGGAGTAGGGGAATTCTGCTAATATAGGTGGCTCTCCACGGGATTTCCACTGAGGTAGCAGCTGCAGCTCCTCTGCCATTGGGAGGAATTTGTGTCTGAGTGACGTGGGATGGGAAATGCAGGGTCCCAGTGAACTGAGACAGCCACCCGTCTTAAACCTGACCTGACATCCTACTGGGGAAGGGAGGAGAGCTGGAAGAGTGGGTGGGTGGAAGGCCTGCTAATCCCAGTGTGAGCTGTTCAGGCTCCTAGCTGCTAGCCGCAGTTGCCTTGGCAGTAGTGGCCATTGTAGCACAGCAGATGGGGTATCACATGGGGGAGCTGGAGGTCTGGCCCGGGGCCACTAGCTGTGAGTTCTGGGTTCCTGCCTCCCCCTTTGGACTTCCCAGTGCAAGACTGGGACAGCCCATGCCTCCAGACCTCCCTCTTAGCCTTCTCAGGGACAGGATGGGTAAGGAGTTCTCTGTTCTTTTGGCATATTCTAAGGGACTTACCCCATGATGTCAGGGAATACCTATCATGAGGAGGGTAGAGGACCAGGCACACACTGAAAGAAAACTCGGCTCCTGGCTTTGGGAGAGTTCTGTGGGTTTCACTGAAGCCTTGTAAACCATCTCCAGAATGGGGGTTATTTAGAAGTGATTGAGAATAATTTGGGGGCATATACGTGCCTACCCCAGGAGGGAAGGAGCACCTTTATTTCCTCTCTTTGGAGTGTTGGTGAGGAGTGGCCAGCATGTGTATTTTAGCCTGGACAATTACAAACACCTTAACCACTGAAATAATATGAGAAGTGCCTTTAGATGTGAGGTGTTTCTGTCTAATGAGGTTAATAAATTATTGGTTTTTGCATGGACATCTGAGCAAGTCTGTATCCTTGCGTATTTAAAACCTTTGAGCTGCTGCATTTCTGTATATTAAGATCATCATGTCTGACCTGAAACTGATAATGGAGAACAGCTGTACCGTGTTGTGTACAGAGTGCACTTGGTCACATGTAAGCCAAGTACCGTACTGACATAAATGTGGAGCAGGGGGACAGGGTTACTTCTCTCAACACAGTTCCCAGGACAGCTTTACACTGTAGCTGGAGTTCTTGATACTTAGGTATTGGAAAATGTTATGCTCAGTAGTCCCCCTGGCACAGTTGATTAACTTGCCTGTTTTCTATGCAATTTGAAACATTGGAATCGAGCAATTGAATTAATAAACTTTGCACTGAGGAAAGCAGTGTCTGTTGGTCAGCCTGAGTCCCAGGGTTATAAAGTTGTAAGTGTTTTACCTTCTGTTCTCATTTTAGCCTCCCTCCCTAAACTAATGCCAAGTCGGAGATTTTTCTTACACTTGCTATTGCGATCCTAATCAACTTGACTAGAAATGGACTCAAAGCACATTTTATAATATTTGTATTTATTTCATAACTAAGGTAATTGTAGTCAGTCCCAGGACAATCCAACTTTTATTTAACTAAGGTAATTGTAGTCAGTCCCAGGACAATCCAACTTTTATTTAGAAACAGGAAAAATCATATTAGATATAAAGTGTCCTTAGTCGTGCAAGTTAATAGGAGTTGTTTGGTAATAGACAAAATTCAGGGGGCTCATAACCTTACACTATAGTTAGTTTCTGAAGGAGCAGGAAGCCTGGAGGGTCAAAATCGGGGAGGATGGGGAGAGAGGAAGGACGCACCGTGGCCGGAGCACAGCGTCTGCACCCCAGATGGTTTCCTGTGCCCACTGGGCTGCTGAGAAGTCTTTCAGGGACAGGATGGGTTAACACATATGAGTTCACATGCTGTCGTTCTAGCTTCTGCTGGGCCAGCTGGTGATTTTTATCGATGATTTCATTTTAGCCAAACTCAGGCCCTGAATTGGTTTTGTCTGAAGATGAAAAAAGTGACAATGAAGATAAGGAAGAGACAGAATTGGGCGTCATGGAGGATCAGCGTAGTATAATTCTTCATCTCATCTCACAGCTCAAGCTCGGAATGGATTTGACCAAGGTAAGTTGACACATCTCCTGGATTTGTGGCCAATTGTTTGGGTCCTGTCTCTATCTTCACAGCCTCCTGTAGACACGTTTCTTTCATTGTGATGGGGTTGTGGAAGTAGAGTGGGGAAAAGGCCAGACTAGCTTTCAAGTATGGATATTCCAGGTGTAATTTAAAGGCCATTTGTACATAATGCTCATCCTCAGAGCTTGGGTGGCCTTGCATTTGATTGTCTGGAGGAGCTGCTGCTCTACAAGGGCTGGGAGAACCTTAGGAAAGAAAACTCAAGATACTATTTGTTTGTTTCCTGCTGTGTTCTCCAGAAGATTAAAGGTGGTCTACAGAGATGGTGATGGCACAATGGCCACAGAGAGAACACAGTGGGGGAGAAGATGAGGGAGCCAGGACAGAGGCTCCTGTGCACACCCATGACCGGCTGCTGCTGTTCTCAGCTTTAAAGCTGGGCTCTGAGGGCAGCCTCACAGGGGATCGTGATCTCATCACCCACATGCAAAGAAATGAACCTGCTAGGTGCAGTGGTGCCACTCACCGTTCCTGGTGCTGAATGCAGGCAGGACTCTCCAGGAGAACCCTGTGTCCTGTCCTAACCTCTGATGTTGGGTAGGGGTCCCACATACATCCTCTCTCACCTCAAGTCAGAAGCAGCATTGTGGAAGCAGGCAGGAGAAGCAATTTTGTATGTAGCTGAAAGGTTGTGTGGTGTCATGGGGTGGGGCACTGTGGGCTAGTAGAAAGAGCCTGCATTTTCCACCTCCTGCCAGTTATTCCAGGGATGCTCCCAGCCGGGCAGGCGGCGTGCAGAGGACAGAGCTGGGAGGTGGGCTCTTAGCAAGTGTGTCCCCATCTTACCCTGTGAGAACACTACGTTGTATGGTGTGCCATGTGATGTGCAGGGAGGCAGCTGCAGGCGGAGAGACAGACTTGGTCTGTGGGGAGGGTGTGCTGGGGTGGGAGTGAGGGATGTGCTAGATTCTGAAGGCCAGCCAGAATATGCGGGTGTTCTTGAAATAGAGCCACTAAAGGCACAGCCTGGGGACACGGCTCTTTGTTTGGCTGCTGCAGCAAAGTGTCTGGATTCCAAGATTTTCCCTCAGACTGGGCGGGAGTCCAGAGAATAGAGAGGGAAGGGCACGGGTGAGACAGAATCTTTGAGGAGGAAGATGACAGAAGGCAAGAGAGAGACAGCAGAGACAGGAGCCTCAAAGATGACAGAAAAACCTTTTCTTTGAAATGCTTTTAGAGGATTGAATGTGAGTGTCTCTGATATTCTGGGAGACTACGGCACTTTATTTTTAATTTTTAAATTTTTAAAATTTCAGATTAATACAAGGGTACAAACGATTAGGTCACCTTGTTTGCCTGTGTTTTTCTCTGTGTGGGTGCGTATGGAGTGCACTAGTCACCTGCACCACTGTAGACAGAGGGCCCACACTGAGGGCGCCAGACCTGGGTACACCCCGCCCCCCCCCCCCCCTTCTATCCTCTGCGTCTGCTCAGCTGCTCCCAGCCTGGCAGTTCTAGCTCTGAAAACCTGTTCTCCGTCCTGCCACCTGCCTTGGACGTCAGTCCTCCAGCTGTACAACTCTCATCGCTTTTCTGCTAGAGGAATGATTTAAATGCTTGACTTTTGAAAAGCGGCCTATTTTTTATTCTTGTGGATTGGTAGACAGTCGGAGGTAAAGTCTGAAGGAGTGTGGATAATAATGTGTGGGATCCAGAATCACGTTGTTTCCGAACTGGGTTCACAAACCTATGAGCGGGTTGTAAAACCCATGAAATATAGTAAAAACATATCAGGGTACACTGTGCATAGAACTTTTGTGTGTTTTCATTCTTTGGATACCTGTGTAGTGGGTCACAATGTAAAACACTTTCTCCTGCTGTAAAAATGTAGCACTTGACCCTAGAATCATGGGCGACAGTGGAGAGAGAGGATCAGAGAAGTTGAAGTTGCCGAGACCAGAGAGAGAAACAGTGCGGTACTGAGGGGCCTGCTTTGTGGCCCATCGAGTATCTGAGGGACTTTACACTACGGCTCTCTTGTTTTAAAGGAAAGAAATCATTAGAATTGTGCATTTTGAATTTCTCATTATTTTATTAGGATTTGATTGCTTTGCCTTTCCAGAGCCGTGGCCGGTTAACAAAAGAGCAAACACTGCATTGATCCAGTACTCGCTTGGGTACCTGATGAAAACCTTTTGTGGTCTGTAGTTTATTAACTTACTTTACTAGGAAGAGGCTGTTACTCAAAACCAAGGGAAAATTGGACAAGCTGAAATACATGGGAGAGGAAGAGGAGACGTCTCCTTTTATCATGTTGAGAGGTTTCTTGGCTTGTGTTGATGAACTTTTCTCTCCTCACTGTCTGCTGTTTTCTTGGCTCTTGGCCTTACGGTTAAGTTAAGCTTGTACTAAATTGACAATGGGAGGACATAGCCAGAATGGAGTGTCTGATGAGCAGGCACCCTGGAGCTAGAACATTCCTCAACTCAAGGATGAAGCTCTTGTCTCTCCCATGAAACAGGAATACCTCTGTCTTTGAGGACATGTCTAGTGTTGGCACATCCCCTGTGGTTACCAGCCCAACTGAGCATGCAGTGCAGTGCTGGGTCATGCCTTGGTTAACTGTGCAGACAGGATCACGCTCGCAGGCATTTGGCCTCTGGGGTGGATCACAGAGTACAGCATGCTTAGGAACGCCCAGTTTGGTTTAATGTTCTACTGCTGCTAGTCTTGAAATTCTGTATAATTGTTAAAGAAGATGACTTGCATTTGCATTTTCTGCTGGACCCACAAAGCATGTAGCTGGTCCTGCCTCCAGATGCACCCCTCTCTGCCCTTGTTCCTCGGCTGTGGTTCCATAACCCCAAGTTACTGTGATACTTCCACTATGTCTGCACAGATTGAACATAGCCTAGAAAAAAAGAGAGGATGGAGGGGCCACAGTCAGCAGGAGGGTCACTGAGAAGTGGGGCAGATTCTGCAGCACCTGGGGGAGGCGAACTTGATCCCGAGTACCATGGGAAGCCTTAGAAGGTTTGCCCCACATCATGTGATGCAAGAGAGATGCATCGTATTTTACTCAGGAGATGCTGAAGTAACTGTCGTGAGTCCCAGGCTCTAGAAAGAAAGGCCCATTGGCTAGGTGCAGTGCCTCACACCTATAATCCTAGCACTTTAAGAAGCCAAAGTGGAATGTTGCTTGAGGTCAGGGGTTTGAGACCAGCCTGGGCAACATAGAGAGACTCTATCTACAAAAAGTTTTAAACGTTAGCCAGGGCTCGGCGCCTATAGCTCAACCGGCTAAGGCGCCAGCCACGTACACCTAAGGTGGCGGGTTCGAATCCCCAGCCCGGACCCGCCAAA